ATGGGGATGGTTGACTGCCTATAATTGCATTCTTGATTAATTATAGTATTATCTTATTTATGTTTGTCATTAACTTCAGTTATTCCCTTATTCTTATTCTTGAATATTGTTTGTATTTGAGCTGTCAACTATGTGAATTTTTTTATATTTGTCTATGAAAGTAGTTTTTGCTATTTTTCTTCGCACTTAGACTTATGATGGATGTTAATGCAAGTATTTTTGTTGCAGGTTTTAAGATTTACGAGCTTAAGGCAAATGGAAAGGCTAAGGATAATTTTTTATATTGCAAATTTCTAGTATTTTGATTTCCTTCTGTAATATTATATTACAGTAGACTGAAGTTTAAACTTTGAAGTAGTTTTTGTTGATTTGCTTTTTATTTGTTTTGGATAATTGATTATTTGCTTTTGATTGTTATGAACTTATGAATAATTATGACATTGTGATATTATGGCATAATGTGCATGTTTGAAATTACTTTGAATTTTCTAATTATACTTTTTCGTTGAATTGTTATTAATTATTTTGATAAATGATGACCGCACCGTGACATTACGCTAAATGTGGAGATTTTTACTCTGAAATTTGAAATTTTTAAGTGAACTAGCTGGCGGGTATAAAACATCAACCGACCCATTTCGGAACCAAATATTCGGTTGCCAACCATCAACCGACCCACAAAGATTGGATCGACAACAGTTTTCAAATTAGAGCAAAAATGGTTTGATGGATAGGTCGGTTATTAGACTGGTAATCGGCTGACCCAACCCAGTCTCAGCTCTAGATAAATGCTAAGGACTTGATAATACCAATTCGGTGCAGAACCACATGGAAAAATCCAAATTTAATTTTTTTATTCGCTAAGTTAATAATTCAAGGATTGTAAAAATATATAATTGACCTCAAGTCTGTCCTTGTAAGAGCATCTTCCAACGTCATCACTATTTTTTCACCAAATCCAATTTTTGGTCGTGAAAAAATGGGTTTATCTCCCACCCTTAGCACACCATTCTACGATTTCACTACTTTTGGTGAAAAAATAGTGTATTTAGTCTCTCACCAATTCCATCAAATTATACACCAAATAATAAAATAATAATATTTCACCATATTCCTATTTATAGAGAATAGCATTTGGTTTGGTCCCCCATGGTATTTCACCAAATATATCACAAAATTATAAATTTAATGTTAATCATAATTTTAGTCTATTTTAATTTAAAAAATATTGATTATCGATCCGATTATAAGTAATTTTTTTATTAATTATATAATCTTAAAAATTGTGATAAATTTCAAAAAAACTATTGAAACATGAATGAAAATCAACGTAAATTAGTATACATATAATAAAATCACACATAAAAATAATTTCATAACTTAATGCATAAAAATATTACAACAAAACTAATAAAAATAATTTCATAACTTAATGCTAACTAAATAGTTTATGTGTATTTCATTTATATAATTTGTCTAGTAATTTTTGTTGTGACATTACAATGCTATGTTTCAATTGTTTTCTGATAATAAATATATTTATTGTTTAAACAT